GTATTTTCCTCCCAGGAACGTCTTGATGACCTCTAACCTCCTGGTGGTGAAACAGTGGAGCATGTAGACTGCAGCCAGAAACTCCTGGATGGTCAGATGAACAAAGCAGTAAACTGGTTTCTGGAAGATCAGATTCTCTCTTTTGAAGATCTCTGTACAAACTCCTGAGTACACTGAGGCCTCTGTGACATCCAGACCACACTGCTCCAGGTCTTCTTGGTAGAACATGATGTTTCCTTTCTCCAGATGTTCAAACGCCAGTTTCCCCAGCTTCAGAAGAACTTCCCTGTCTGCCTCCATCAGCTCCTGTGAACTTGTCTCATGTCCTCCATGGTACTTGTTCTTCTTCCTCTTTGTCTGGACCAGCAGGAAGTGTGAGTACATGTCAGTCATGGTCTTGGGCAGCTCTCCTCTCTGCTCTGAGGTCAACATGTTCTCCAGAACCGTAGCAGTGATCCAGCAGAAGACTGGGATTCCACACATGATGTGGAGAGTTTTTGATTTCTTGATGTGGGAGATGATTCTGCTGGACAGCTCTTCATCACTGAACCTCCTCCTGAAGTACTCCTCCTTCTGGGCGTCGGTGAAGCCTCGTACTTCTGTTACCCTGGAAACACATGAAGGAGGGATCTGATTGGCCGCTGCAGGTCTGGTAGTTATCCAGATGAGAGCCGAGGGAAGCAGGTTCCCCTTGATGAGGTTTGTCAGCAGAACGTTGACTGATGACGTCTGTGTGACGTCAGAAACCAGCTGCCTGCTGTTGAAGTCCAGTGAAAGTCTGCTTTCATCCAGGCCATCAAAGATGAAGAGCAGTTTGCATTTATCCAGCTGCTCTGCTGGGAGCTTCTGGAGTGTTGGATGGAAAACATGGAGCAGCGAGAGAAGACTGTGCTGCTGATCTCTGATCAGGTTCAGCTCCCTGAACGACAGCAGAACCACCACACTGACATCCTGGTTCTCCAAGCCCTCGGCCCAGTCCAGAGTGAACTTCTGCACTGAGAAGGTTTTTCCAACACCAGCGACGCCGTTGGTCAGAACCACTCTGATGGCTCCATGTTGGTCAGGGAAGGATTTAAAGATGTCCTGGCACCTGATTGGAGAGTCATGGAGGTTCTGGATCTGGGAAGCTCTCTCCAGCTGCTTCACCTCATGCTGGGTGTTAACCTCTTCACTCTGTCCCTCTGTGATGTAGAGATCAGTGTAGATCCTGTTGAGGAGGGTTCTACTTCCTGTTTCATCACTTCCTTCAGTCACACATTCACATCTCCTCCTTAGACTGATCTTATGTTCCTCTAGAACCTCCTGCAGAACAACATCTGCTGAAACATAGAAGAAAAGACAACCAAAGTAAAAAACATGATTTATTGTAATTGGATTGGAACAAAACCACCTGGAACATTAGGAGGCGTTATCATTATAAGGTCTCTGATTTCACAGGATGTCATGCTAAACAATTAAATCCATACACAGAACCAGAACATTGTTCTATCATCAGACAGCAGATTCCTGTTTTGTGGCCTTTGTCTGTTCACTGTCAGGATCTGATGCACAAAGTAGATCAGATAAATGCTGACAGAAACACAGTCATTAAATGTAGCAGCTTTAAGCAACATCAACTCTTCTGCATCATGTCCTCATTTTGATGTTTCTATCTGACCTTCATCCATGAACAGCAGCTAAACAGGCAGAGAGACGGAAAAATGTTTTCTCCCAGCATTTCCAGCCTTAATGAAGGGAATCTAGAGGAAATGGTTTAATCTGCCAGAGAAACAGATCATTATAACAGGTAGTATTCACATTTAAAACGGCATTTTGAGTCAAAGACTGAATTGGATGTTTGTAAAGAATAACATGCGACTGATTTAGCCCTTTAGAAGTAAAACACATTGTTAGAATTATTACATGATGTATGTATAATTATATAAACTGTAATTTAATGTCAGAATAAATCAGGGTTTCTTTCTCTCTTTCTGTAAAAGCAGCAGGTTGTTTTTTTTCTCCATTTTTTTGTTTTCATTAATCAAAATAACCTCCAGTCTAAAGGTGATGTTCAGTTTTAAAGCATTTAGCACAAACAACTGAAACAGATCCATTTTAAATCAAACCCAGCAGGTTGTTCGGTTGAACACATTCGATCCATTTACAGCTGGAAACAGATTTAGCTGAAATAATTGATCACAGAAAGACGTTTAACACCTTGAATTTCCAAATCCCATCTAAAGACGTTGAATTGGTTCAACAGACAACAGAAGGAAGCTCTGATTGGAGGTGTTCAGTCTCACCTGGAGCACAGCTGCTCTGATTGGCTGTCAGCAGTCCAGCTCCTGTTCTGGGTCGTTTCCCACACTGGGGGCAGGAGGAGGGTCCAGATGGAGCAGACTGGTCCCAGTAGGACCTGATGCACTGTCTGCAGAACCAGTGTCCACAGCTGGTAGAGACCGGATCCACCAGAACCTTCTGACACAAAGCACAGCAGGACGGCTGCTCCTCCTCACCAATGTTGCTCCTCTTCCTCCCTCTGTGAAGACATTTCTTCATCAATGAAACTGTTCACTAAATATGGGTGAAATGATGAAGATGTTCATGAAGGTCCAACACAATCAGTAAAATCATATTAATTGGAGATATGATCAGTATTTATGGTTTTGGGAATGAGACTCAGCGCTGTCAATCATCCTCATGTAAAGACCACTGTTGAGCCACCTGCATCATTGGCCATGCTAACTAGCATTAGCATTCATGACAGGTTCTATCGTCAGGAAGCATCTGCAGCATAGCAGAGGATAAGTTAAGGAGTGGAAGAGGGGGGTGAGCAGCGCCACATGAATGGTGACTGACGGCTCTAAGAACCGCCTCCCGTCTGATTGGGTGTTTCTCGATAGAACTGGGAGAAGGTAGAGGAGATCTTTACACAGACTATCAGTCTCATGCCGTCACAACATAGTGACAGTTTTAACAAATATGTAAAAAAAAAAATGTATAAAAGTTACATACTACAGCTTCAAAGGTCAAGGGTCAAAGTTGAGTGATTAGTTGACACGTCGTCCTCTAGGATCCAATGAAGGGAACCTGGAGGACCGTTCCTCCATCCTGGACCCATAAGAAGCACTTGGCCTTCTTATGATTATAAAACATTTATTCATTTTGGTAATTCTAACAATGCACAATTAAAGATTTGACTGGTAAAAAAAAAAAAAAAAAGCTCTCATCACTGCCAAAGTAAAATGAACAAATGATGGTCAAAAATTGTTTCTGCCATAATTAGACCTCCTGCTGTGAGGTTACCAGTGACTACATTCAACTATTCATGATGCCACTCATTGCGATTACAAAAAACAACAAATTATAACAAAGGACTTACTTTTGGTCCGGGATTTACCTACCAACATTTTACCATTACACAGTTTTATGTACACACGGTTTATAGTGTCTCTCAAATCCTTGTAACAGACGACTTAGCTTTGGAAGGAAGATAATCATCTCCTGGGTTGAACTGAATGTGAGCACTGCTTGTGTTGCTCGCTAACGTGATGGGCATTGCTTATGGTTGCTCGCTAACGTGATGGGCATCGCTTATGGTTGCTAGCTAACGTGATGGGCATCGCTTATGGTTGCTAGCTAACGTGATGGGCATCGCTTATGGTTGCTAGCTAACGTGATGGGCATCGCTTATGGTTGCTAGCTAAC